GTGTCTTGACCGGAATGAGACTGCGGGCGCCGCCTAGTGGGTGTGATTAGGAATTGACTAACCCAGTGCCAATTCTAACACTAAACTCAACCTGGGCTTGATCCAGCCTTTGGCCTAATTCTACCTCGGACTTGAACTACACCCTTGTATTCCTCCCTCTCCCTTTCTTCAGGGCCTAGCACTGTAATGGACACGGAGGGAGGCAGGGTAAGAGCCACGTCTTGACGTTCCTGTCGGGGAGGCATAGATGACCATAATGCAAGGCAGGTGCAGTTCTTAGAGAGACATGTGGGAGGCTGGAAGAGGAAGCAAGCCCAGCGGGGGGCACAGTAGGTGAGGCTTCTGGGAGGAGACTGTGTGAGCCGGGTTTTTGGTGGCAGAGATTGGGCAAGGCATGAGCAAAGGCCTGAAGGCAGGGAGCCTCAAGGTGCCTCTGGGAGTGGTGAATGGACCAGTTTGACTGCTGGGGCACAGGATTGCCTTGGGAACCAGGTAGAAAGGCAGGCGTGGGCCAGGGTAGGGAAGGTCTTGGTAAACAGGTTAAGGAGTTTGAACCTTACCATGCTCTTTACAAAGCAGCATGAGGAGTTGGTGAGGGCTTCTGAGCCCAAGTGGTAGGGAATCTGGTGGTATTGACTCAGGGCTCTTCTACCTGTTGGAGACTGCCTTCCATTGTATTCAGTAAATGTTTCTTCGTTTCTACTCTGAATGTAGCAAACTCTGAAAACTTCACAGAAGAATGAGATAGCCTTGCCCTGAACTAACCATTGTCTGAGGAGCGTCAGGGGCTAGGGCATACAGCAAGCACACAGATGACTGAAATGACAGGCAGGAGAGGACCCCAGGAGAGGCACCAAGCAGGGGTGACAGTGGCTCCAAGGGGAATGATCATCCACTGGGGAACTGTGGCCAGCTCTACTCCTAGGGCCTCTCCCTCCTGCACCCCTCTCTGGCTCCATCTCATTAGGGTGAATCGTTCATAGTTTTCCTATCATTTAAATTGCGACGTGTTTTGGTCACCGTGGAAGAAGGGACGTGGTGTGTTATAGGTGCTTATTTTATTTTAAAAAATTAACACTTCTCAGGGTTTGTTTAAAAAAGCACATACAGATAATCTAAGAAGAAAATGGCCTATAATTTCCTGGCCCAGACTAGCCTCATTGGCATAAATAAATAAGTGTGATCCAAGTACGTTTCTTGGAAAATTCACATTGATAGGAAAGAAGCTAAATGGAATGTAGACTCCTCCCTCCTCCCATCCTTCAATTCCCTGTCCCCAAAGTTAGCCACCATCAACTGTGTCTTGGGATTCACCCAGGATCTTCCCTCTATGGACTCACCATCTTATATGTCTCCCTCCTCTCCCCCGACCCCAACACATACTTTTATAAGAGACATGCAGAGAGGCCAGAGGATACACAGACTCTGCACCAGGGGCCTCTTTCTAACGGAAGGACTTTGGGAAGGAGGAGGAGGAGGCTCCTGCAGGCTCACTTGGGTCAGAGATTTGTGATTTCAGCAGGGAGGAATGGGCAAAGGGTACACAGCCAACAGAGGGGGGAAATGGAGCAAGCTTTGGACAATCGTCTAGGAAATAAGCCAGACTGTGGTGAGGTAATTCATGTGCTCGGTGCTGTGGTTAGTTAAAGTTACAAGACCCTTGGGACTCAAGGGGGTGGGGTGGGGGCTATTCCATGCAGGGAGAGGTGGAGTCCAGAGGAGCCTGGCTTTTGTTTTAGGATTGCGTCTCTGTCCCAGGCCTGGAAGTGTTGCAGAAGGGGAATGAAAGCCCACTTCCATCTGCATTCAGGATGACCCCAGTTTGACAGTTCCTCATTCTGTTTGTTGTAGGGAGAGGCACGCCTTCAATTTTGGCCTCTGTCCTTAACTAGCAATGCTCCTTCTCTTTCCCCTTCCCCTTCCCCTTCCCCTTCTCCTTCTTTTTTGAGTTATTTCCATTTTCTAGATCTTGGTTTTCTTAGACCTAGATGAGCTCTGAAACCATTTCTAGGAAAGACGGTGGGATATGGAGTCAGAAGACGTAGGCCGGTTCTCTTAGCCATCGTGTGTCTCTGTTTCCTTAGCTATAAATTAGGATTAATTATGCCCACCTCAGAGGGTGGGTGTGATGATCAAAAGAGGAGAAAGTGCCTTACTAACTGTAAAATACTGAGCAAACATTAGTGTGCTGGGAGAATGGAGGCCATGACTTTCTGAGATTCTCTTCCAGGCCTCCCATGTTACTCCCAGAGTTGAACAACCGCTATGACTTATCATTTTTTTTCTTTTAAAAGAAACTTTATTGTGGGATCATTTGCATAAAATAAATTGCACCCATCCCGAGTGTACAGTTCAATGGGCTCTGACAAATGCATACGCCCTGGAAACCACCGGCCCGGTCAAGCTACAGAACACTTGCATCACCCTAAAACCTCCCCTCCTGCCTTTGCAGTCAGCCGCACCTCTGGCCCCAGGCTTTCTGCTTTGCTGGGTTCAGAATGTCATGTATTCTCTTGAATCTGGCTTTCCCCTTTCAGGGTGACAGCCCCAAGGTCTGTCTATGCTGTGGGCACCTGCAGTTCCCTCCTTCTATATGGACACCCTAAGACATCGTTAAACCATATAAAATGCAAACCAGAGAGTCTCCCTCTGCTCCATTCTCCCAGGAGCCATAGAGCTTTTAGCTGATGGGCCTCAGGTGAGGGAACCCAAGCTGTCTGGCCCTGTCCTCATTCTGCAGTCGGGAAGGGGAGCTTGCATGTCCTGACAGCCTTGGACTTCTGGGCTCTGGCTTCTCTCCTCCAGGCCCAACCTAACACTGCCCTGTTGAAGTTGTCCCCCAACCCGCCCCACCTGAGGTGGGATCCACCCAGACTAGGTCAAGGCCTTGTGTGTCCACAAGGCTCTGGGTAAAATGCAGCATAGCCGGGAGGGTAACCCAGTAAGTCTGCCAGCGACCACTGTGAGAGCATCAGTACAAATTGGTTTATCAGATTAGAATCAGGTCTCTAGCAAGGGCTTTCGCCGATGCGAGGAAAACAGCTTTGTTTCAGTTGCATGGGGCTGGCCTGCACTTGTAGGTAGCTCTATCCAGGAGACTGCGTGGGCATTGGGAAGGGATGAAACAGCCCTCTCTGTGTGGCATTCTGGTGGGTTCTGCACATCTTTGATCACAAGGCCAGTTTGGTCCCCCCTTTCCCTCCGTCTGTGTTCTTACCCGTCTGTCCTCTGATCCTGCTTCACCATCAGGCAGCAGGGGCGGGATAATCATCATTACCATTTATTACAGCACCTACGCATGCTGCCAGGGCATTTCGCATACATCGTTTCGTTTACTTCTCACACCAACCCTTTGAAGAAGGCATCATTAGTCCCATTTTATAGATGGAAAAACCCGAGGCACAGGGAATTGAAGTTACTTATTCAAAATCACTCAGTTTCAGAGTCAGGATTTGAACCCAGGTCTGTCTGACATCAGGGCCCACTGCCC